GCCCGCAGCCCGGGCCCCCCCCCGCCGCCGCCGCCCCGCCGCCCCCCCGCCAGCCCATGCCCGGGGCCGCCGAGCTGGAGGAGAGGTTCGGCCGCGTCCTGGTGAGCGGGGACGGGGGTTCGGCGGGGAGACCCCCCCGGGGAGGGCGGAGGGGGTGCTGGGGGGGATCCGCGGTGGGGGTCCCGGACTCGCCACGGGGGACCGGCTGGAGGGGGTCCGGAGTTGCCGAGGGGGTTCTCTGAGCATCCCTGCCGGCACCGGCATCGTTAGCACCGGTATCACCGTCGTCATCATTCTAATTACCATATTTTTACTATTATTCCATTAATCACTTAATTTATTATTTAATTAGCATTCTTATTAATAACGATGACTTCCCCCTCTGCTACCCCGTTCCCCCCGGGGACACTCAGCCCTGCCCCGGGATGAACCCCCAGCCGCTCCCGTCCCCCTCCCGTTGCTCTCACGGTCGGAGGGGGGTCCCAGCCCCCCAAACTCTTGGGGTGACCCCGAGTCCCCGGACCCCGTGGAGGCTCCGCCATGGCGGGATCGGCGGCAGGGCCGGAGCGCCGCAGGCAGCCGGTGCTGCGGATGGCGGTGCTTCACTCACCTCTTCCTCCTCCTCCTCCTCCTCCTCCTCCTTTCTCCCGCAGCTGGGGAAGCCCCCCGGCATCGCTCCGGGCCTCCCGCGGGGGGTGGGAGCCGCGTTCCCATGGGATGAATGGATGGATGGATGGATGGATGGATGGCAGCTCTTGGAACACGGGGCGCTGCGGGAGATCGGCTCCCGCCCGCTCCCTCCGTCCTTGAGCGGGGCCGGCCGGCCGTGACCTTCGCGCCGGGATGGCCGCGGGGAGCCGGCCACGCTCCACCCGCGTCCCTGCCCTCCCCAGAAATGCTCCGTGCAAAAAAAAAAAATCGCTGCTTTAATCCCCTGATCCCCCCGGGATCCCGGGAGACGGAGCCTGTTCGCCGATCCCGTGCCGGGAGCGGCCGCGGGCACTGAGCTCCCATGGATGCACCGGGACCGGCTCGGTGGGATCCCCCATCGCAGCCCCTGAGCACGAATTATTTGGAAGCTTTTAAACTCATGGCGTTTGGGGGATTATTTGGGGATGAGCATCTCAGCCAGAGCCTCTGGAGGTTCTCTGCCCCCAGCGTGGGCTCCGGGGCGGTGATGGCAAAGGGCTCTGCCAGGCGGGACCCCCGGGGGACCCCTGAAACCCCGAGGAGGGGGTTTGCCGTGGGACGCCCATATTGGCGGGTGGCTGAGCAGGGTGGTGGCGCCTGTGGTGGCTCCGAGTGTCACAGCAGTGGTGGCAGGAGGGGACAGGCAGCCGGGGAACCTCGGGGTGTTTCCGCTGCAGCCGCGAGGCCCCAGGAAGCGCCGCTTTCCGCTGGGCTGGGTCCAGCAGGTTGGAAATCCTGAAAAAAAATGGTCAGAAAAGGGAAAAACGCTGCTCCAGGCCCTCGGTGCCACCCTGTCTGCCTTCATCCCGAGGGAAAGCCCTTTCCCAGGAGCAGGGGGCACCCAGGGGGCTGCAGATGGGAACCGGGTGTCTTGTGAAACCGGTTGTCCCAATCCCGCTTCCTCCTTTCGCAGGGTCCCTTCCCCCTTCTCACAGCCTGGGGGGATGGGACAGGGGGTCCTTCTGCCCTCACCCACCACAAACAGGTTCCTTGACTCTGGATTCAACTTTTCCACCTCCTGAGCTGGTGAGATCAGTGATGGAGCAGAAGGTGATGAGTTGGGAATCTCCCGGTGGGACGTGATCCAGATCTGACACGTTGCCGTGGTTACAGTGATGCTTCGAGAGCTCAGTGCAAACCACTTTTGGGCCGGACATCCCGAACTAGGAGAGCTGTTGGGGCAAAGCCTTGGCAGAAAAGCTAATGGGGGAGCCCAGGGGTTCCAAACTGCCATCGGGAAGGGGATGGATAAATCCACCACATGCCAAGAAATGAGGAATTTAGTTTTCCCAGAACTTTGTTCCCCAAAAGTTGGCTCCTTCCCAGCTGGGCACTGTGGCAGATGTCACTTTGGCAGAGTGACGGGAGGGTTGTCCTGTGCCAAGTGGTTTGAGATGTGCCGAGGTGGCTTTTTGGGATGGAGCGGAGGAAGAGCATCTTTGCTGCTGGGATGGGGATGCTCAGATGCTCCTGCTTGGAGCAGTGAGGATTCTTCTCCCTTTGCACATCAAGAGGAAATACTGGGAATATAGAAGTGAAATTGTGAGTTGGGGTGTGGTGAAGGGAAAGCCAAAATCCTCTGGGAGTGTTAGGCTGGAGCCTTGGGAATGGGGGCCGATGGGGACGGGGTCTGCTCCATCCAGGAGCTTTCCCTGATCTGGGCTTTGCCGCCTCTTCTCCCAGGTCCTGGGGGAGCACATGGCACACGTCACCGCTGCAGATGTTTGCAGATGTTTGCAGATGTGCTCTTGGCCTCAGGGACGGGTCACCAGTGAGCCCTGGCCGAGTGTCGGCCTCGACTCAACCAGGAAACAAAGCTGGTGCTCGGCTTCCTGCTGGATCCACCCCCAGCCCGGTCCCAGCCCGGTGTCCAGGGCTGGCTGGGGGATGTGGGGCTGCGCTGGGGTGTCCCCAAGGGGGACATGTGCCCTGCGTGGGGAGGGAAGGGGTCTGTGAGCCGAGAGCCACTGAATCAGGGACTGGAGAGGGTGTTTGTCCTCATAGGACTCCCCCGTGTGAACCAGGAGGGCATCCCAGGGTGGGCAGGCAGGGATCCAGCAGGGATGAGGACATGGGGGCAGAATCAGGCTCCTCTCCCCAGCCTGTGCTACAGCGGCTTCCCAAAATAGAGGCAGAGCCGCAGGCGGCAGCGGCCGCCCCCTCAGCCACCCTCCCCCCGGCGGGACCGGCCGTCCTGGGGACCCGCCCGCTCCTCCTCCGGCCTGTCCCCGCCTGCCACGGGGAGGGGTTGGGACCTGGATGGATCCAGGGAGGCCCTGATGGGATGAGCTCACCCCGGGAGTGTCACCCAGCCTGGCTTGCTGCATGCTGGGGACCAGGGGAGCCCCGTGTGGGCTGATCCCAGGATCCTCTGAACCAGGATCCAGCCTGATCCCAGTGCTGAACCTCAGCAAGAGGCAGTCAAGGTCACTGGAGGGAACACCACGGGACAGCTGGCACTGCAGGGTTGGGCATGGCCCAAACCCCCTCGGGTGGGAGCATCGCGCTCCATGGCCATGAGGGATGGAGCATCCCAAGGCTGGAGCATCCCAAGGCTGGAGCATCTGAGGGATGGAGCATCCCAGAAGCCCCACACAGGGGTGGGATGAGGGTGCTGGGTGCCAGCTGGAGTGCGCTGGATGAGGGGAGGTGCGATGTGGCTGCTGGGGGCAAGTCCCTGTGGCTTCTCCATCCTTGTCCCCCAAAGAGGAGGAGGAGGAGGACTGATTCCTTTGGCCTCCCAAACACCTGGAGATGTTTGTCCTTCCCGCAGCCAGAGCCCCTAAACCACCACCTGGGGTGAGTCCCTGCCCCATCCCCTTCCCTGTGGTGGGCAGGGTTGGTGCCTGGACTGGGATAACCTCCCGTGCCACGTGCTGTCAAGGCTTTCCATCCCCTTTCCATGGATGCACATCCCCTTGTGCCACAGAAATGGTGCTCCCAGGGTTCTGCCTGGTTCTCAGGCAGCTCGTTGGAGTTTTGCAGCACAAACCCTCCCGTGGAAGATGCCGGAACGTTCTGTGCTGGGGTTTGGAGCAGAGCTCAGCTCAGCCCGGCTCCGCTCACGTGTGGAACAAAAAGAAGTGTCTGACACCCAAAATAGCTCCGTCCCCCACTGGCCAGGAAAGGAAAAGGTCGTTTTGTACCAGAAAATGATGTCGGTGCCGCTTCACCTCCCCCCAGTCTTGGTTTTATTGTCAGGCAAAGCCCGGCTCAACCCTACGGCCGGTGTCAGCTCCCAGCTGGCAACAACCCGGCACTGGGCACGGCTGGGGTGGCACTGTGGGCTCCGTGGCACCTGTGTCACAGCAGGGGACATCTGGGGCACCCACTGAGTGACATGGTGGGCTATGAGGCTGGGGGAGGCTGGGAAGCCCCACACGGGAGTGGGAGGAGGGTGTTGGGTACCAGCTGGAGGGTGCTGGGTGAGGGGAGGTGGGACAAGTCCCTGTGGCCTCTCCATCCTTGTCCACCAAAGAGGAGGAGAAGAAGGAGGACCGAGTCCTTCCTCTGACACCTCTGGGGTGCTCAGCTGCTGCTCTGCCCCACATCACCCCACCAGCCAGCCCCACATCACCCCAGCACCCAGCCCCACACCTCCCACACCACCGGTCCCCCCTCCCCAGCAGGAAACGAGAACCGGTTTCTTTGTTTCTTTGTGCTGCTGCTGACGCTCCACAGGAGCCACTTCCTCCCCCCAGCACCACATGCCCACCCGGGACGCAGCCACCACCCAGTTTGTACCCGAATTGTGCCACATCCTGCCACCCCTCCCAGCCTGAGGGACCTGGTGGGCAGAGCCACCCCTGCAGGGACATCCCAGCATCCCCCTGCCCCCCTGCACCCCTGTGGTGGGTCCTGTCCCCCTGGAGACACAGAGTCCTGGTTTGTTCAGGTCCCACACGTGGTGACTGGAAGAGCTGGTCCATGTGGCAGATGCCACCACGCCTCTCTGCCGAGGGAATTGTCCCACAGAGGGTGCCACAGGTGCTGATGGAGCTCTAGGTGGGGTGTTTGGGTGCATGGTCCCTCTTGGCACAGCCCTGTCCCTTGGCCTGACCCTCCTGGAGGGCCTCACCCATCCCAAGGATGGTAGCTTGGGGACCACGAGGACAGGGCTGCCCTGCGATGGGGACATCCAGGTGCTGCTGTCACCTTGCCCATCCCAGGACCCACCTGGCTCCAGTGGCTTCACGGTGAGGCTATTTCTGACCCTGCACCCTAATTGTACCCCCTGCCCAGCTCCCCATGTGAGCCATCCCCTGGCCAAATCCAGCTCCTCCCTCCCACACCTCCCGGTGTTGGCTCCTTGCGAAAGCAGCTCGACAGGTCCTCGGTGGGGGCGGTGCCGAGGTTCCCCTTCCTGCCGCCACCGTGGCACCTCTCGTCTTGGCCCTGCTCCTCTGTGGGCAACCCACCCCCTGGGAGATGCCTTTCCCCAGGGATGTGGTTGTTCCAGGGCTGCATGCACCCCACGTCCCCAGGGCTGGGGTTAAAGGTGACCTGGGGCCGGGCGGTGCCTCCCAGGCGAGCTGATCACCAAAAACTGGGTGTTTTGGCAAAATAAACCACCTGTGACCCGAGCTGAGCTCCAGCCTGGCCCGGGCCATGGTGGGACACCCCGTGGTGTCCTGCCGTGTCACCAGAGCACCCTGGAGGCGGGAGCTGCCCCGGGGCCTCCCGGAGCAGTTTCGGCAGCGCCTGGTGCTGCTCCGAGAGCGGAAACCACGTCACGTCCTGCCGGGGCGGCTGAGGGGGCTGTGGTTGTGCAACGGTGGCACGGAGGGACACCAGCCCCTGCCCCGACATCGTGGCTCTCAAGAAACACTGATTTCCCCAGACGGGCCTGTCACGCACCCCTGGCTGTGGGACGGGGCGGTGACTGTCACCCTCGAGCAGGGCCCGGCCTCCTGGGCCCCTCAGCTGTGTCACCAGCCCATGTCCCCACCCCTCAGCCCGGGCACTTGGCGCACTCATGACATGGATGGACGGGGCCAATTCTTCCTCCTGCCCCCCACCTGCCTTCCCCTTGGGGACCCCCAGGTGGGGACATATCCATGGGATGCTCACATTGTAGGAATGGTGGTGTTCCCATCCTTCCACCAAAGTCCCCATGATTCTATCAGTGTCTCCATCCTGGGAATGGTGTTCTCATTGTCCCATCGGTGTCCCCATCGTCCCCCCAGTGTCTCCATTGTCCCACCAGTGTCCCCATTGTCCCA